CGAATTTGAATCTATCCCCACCTACAGACTCTACCCAGTTTTCACTGCACTTAAGATCGCACTCGAACTAAACTTCCAAAAGTCAATGACCCAGAAACTAACAAATAACGTCCAAAGTTACAAGCTCAGGATAAATCGTCGGCCGGGTTAGTAATTCGGCTCGTTAAGAGCTCTCCGTAAGTAGACAGCAGTTAAGAGCACTCCTTAAGTCGCAGTTAGATCCGCGGTCACAAATCGCGAACTGCTCTGGAGGCACAATGGAGGTCGACGGCGCCACTTGTAACTTCGATAATTTCCTGCGTCTTGCAATCAATACCTGACACCACTGTTTGTAGTGTTTTTGTCGAACCAAAATTTTACTGTGACTATAATTGCGATAGAAATAGGAAAATGAATCTGTTTCATTGGATCATTAGGGTATCATATCCAAAGAACTTGTTCAGTTATCACCTCAATAAGCACACATTGTCAAATGACAGATAAACATAGATCCATAATAACATAGTACCTACCTACTTTGACATAAAAAACGAATGAGTCGAATCACAATATGATTTCTTTTAGCAGTTATCCAATATTATTACAGTAAACTTATTTGAAACGTAACTCAATATTCGTAGCTATTCCTGTAATACAGTGAATCTCATTCGCTTAATTTTTCTTTTCCTTCTTCGCTTTTGTAATTAGCCAGCTTACCAACAAGATAATAATAAAATTCCGTCGAAATAATTTAGAATTTTTCATGGAATACTTTTTCATCCCTCTGAAAATGAATTCCGTAACAATATTAAGTAAGAGACCGCGAAGATTATCCACTTATAATCCATTTAATTCACGTCCGTGACGTCTCATCCACGGCAATAAAAAGCTTTGTTCCGCAACAATTAGGCCCAAGTTATTGTATCTACTTAATTGAATAAACTCATCACTGGCTCTTAATTACGTATTAATTATAGTGCTGCACGTGGAATTTTAATTGAAAACGCTCGAACTTTTAATGAAGGGAGGTGAAAAAAGTTGCAAATGAAGGCAGGGCGCCCTCTTGTCTTAATTAAGACGAAGTTTTAACTATTTCCCCGCGCCTTTGTTTATTTAAACAGTTTTCTGTTCGCGACGCCTTGGCAGGTATTTGAAAGAGATTTCGCCAGCGATAAGGTATAATGGGGACTTTTATTAAAAACGATAAAAAATATATAACGTAGCTCCTCGCGCGCGGTTATCGAGAAATAAGCTGAGTGAACATAATCTTAGACCTTGTCTGAGTAAACTTTTTTATGGTATTCCCTATTGTGGTTTGTAATACGCCACGCATTGAGGAAGCGAGATAAGTAATATTCCGCGGCGTAATCTGGCGGCTGTGTTTGCTGATAAAATAAAAAATAATTTTCCTTCAGGTTACTCGTTTTAACGCAATATTGCTTTGGTATGGAGATTAAAATAAAAACTGAACGATAGCGAGAATTGATTTAAACTTGTGCTTTTAACCCGTATTGTGGATTTTGCCACAACATAACATTATACGCTTTGGAAATCATTAGAGCAGACTCTTAATTTTGAATCTACTGAAACACAACCGGGTAGCTGAAAACTACTTACCTATTATGAAAGCAGAACAACTTACATATGATTTATTGTATAATAAACTCTTATACTGAGTTTATTACAAATAACAGTACGAGTATATTCGCAAAACAGTATTATGCAAGCAAGAAAACGTTAATTTAAGGCACTAAACATTTTCACTTCTCGATGTAGGTAGATATTTATCTAACTATAGGTACTTATTCAGGTTATAGCTCGAACATTTCTGATCTTAGCCATTATCGACTTGCTATTCAAAAGTTAAATATTAGCACATAATAAATGTTTACTTTGTTAAGCCCTAGTTAGTTCCCGATTTGTTTAAACTCCTGAGCGCCATAAAGCTAAGAAGCTAGACCAATGTATACCTACCGAAGGCAAATAAAAGAGCAATCGATTCTATTGTTAAATTACGAATTCCACTTATTCCAGTTTCTTATGAAACAAAAGACTCGACACAATCCGAACGCAAATGATATGAAAATATCAAAGTGAATAAATCTGTCCCGGGCCTAAGCAAACAGGAGGCCTTTCCAATTTCCCTGGAACGAAACCAAACATAATACTTATTTAAACTTTATCCATTTCCTTCAAGTATCCCTCAAGGGCCACGCGCAAATATAATCTGGCCACCTGAGTGACGCGCGCGCAATTATTTGAACAGGTCATCTCGCGCAACAACGCGCACTCATCAGTCTCGCGATCCACGTTACATCGATACATATCAAAAAGCTAAATTATATTTTAAAATTTACATGTAGAGGCAACGCACATCAAATTAAATGATGGCCTCTTTATGTCCAATAAGACACAAATAACTTACCTTTTTTCAGTTTTGTATGATTAAGCTCTAGCATCGCCTGATCATCCAAAAATATATATGTTACGGTTAATGTGATAAATTTAAAATTATTAATAATAACCGGTTATTATGAATAATTACCGACAGTCGCGGTAAAAGTGATAAATTAATCACATTTAACAGTGATTATTTAGTAATTCAACCTTAGTACTAACAAATTTCATAAAAGAGAACAACATCTTGTGTACATGCTCCTGTACAGCCAAACTTTTGAACGTTTTCATATATCATATATTAATATAATTTGGCATAATAAGTTTGGAATGTTTTTTGCATAATATTACTTTTCCATGATGCCTATAACATAATGTTTTGATTTAAAGTGAAAAATAGGTTAAGGTGCGGCGGGGGTGGCCCTCGGGCCACCCCTAAGGCCCAGTTTTTTGATTCATAGTTAAAATAACTAATAGTCAAATTTGACAGATGTCAAATGACAAGTGGTTAAATATCGGAAAAAAATGTTTTTCGAACAATGGTTAGCTTGACGTTTAGTACATTTTTTTAACTATTTGTTTACATTTTGTTAATATTTAACCATTAGTAGCAAAATTTAACAATTAGTTATTTTAACTATGAATCAAAAAACTGGGCCTAAGCCGCCTATTTAGTTTTATACACACATAAAATGACCTCATATTAATCACATTTACCAAATCATGCGGTAATTATTCATAATAACCGGCGATTATTCATAATTTTCAAAGGACATTGTCAGAAACCGCCTTAGATTCCTGAGCACAGCAGTAATGTATCAAAATTAANAAATGAAAAATACTTGCGGATCAAAAGTACTCAATCATACTACAATTTACGAAAAAATCACGCGTGACGCATATACGTCAGTGGGCAGTCAACTGACATAGACCCGGCGTCTACGAGTGCCAAAGCACGACTGATTTATGCCATTTGATGCACCCGATTTTATAGTATTTTCAAATTAATTTTTCATTTGAAGATTGAAGATGGATATTTTTTCTTTTTCACACAATAATAGTAGGGGAGAGGGGGGCAGCTTTGAACAATTTTCATACTTTATTAAATATCTTCCAAATTTGAACGATTTCATTAATTTTTTCTTCCTAGATAGAGGTCATGGTTATCACACAACAAAATAATGATGTTTTTCTTAATTATTCATGAACGCTTATTAAGATATTTAGATTTTTGCACAGACCTGTAAACGTTCAAAACTGCAACGTAGTCGGGGCAGCCTTGAACACGCCTGGGGCAGNAGTGCTCATAGCACAAGACATGCGTCAACTTCAGCTGCCAAAAGACTTGGTGTAAATATAGATCTAATTAAGAAAACTGTGTGCTGGACATCTGTACGGACATCTGTACGGCTAGCACGAAAAACTTTCGAGTTCAAATCGTTTGCGTATTCGAATCGCCATCAAAAGATTTAGTACGAAAACTGCAACAGCACCCTTGTGAACGTGTCGTAAAGACGTGAACTTTAGTATGAGAAATGGTTGCACGAAACTTATTTTGAGAATCAAAACTATCACGTTATCGTTTAATTCGAAGATTGAGCATCGAATTTTGTCGAATACGCAAACGATTCGAAGACGAAAGTTGTTCATGCTAGAGGTACTGGTTCCAGTGCATTCGCTAGATTTTATAATAGAGAAATATCGAACGATGGTACAGAGGTATTTGCGCGTTCTCTTTGTGGTATAGCCTCAACAATATCAAATGATATGCCTAATTAATGTAGATTGACACATTACATTGATTTATAAGTAGATTCCTTGTATCCATACCTAAGAGTGTTATTTATTGTTATTTTTGCTGTAATTTTTATAATTTAAAAATACATCAGATTGACAAGAAAATGTATTATTATCATTCCACTTCCATTTGGATGCTATTTTGTGCACTTTAAACATCTACAAGTGAATATAATGTAATTTCGAAGGGCGAATCACAGAGTTTAATAGTAAAACAAACGAACTTACCTAAGTGACGTTCGATGATTATTAAACGATGTGATTCGCCCGAAGAAATTACATCCCTCCCTATCCCTGACACAATCGTGTCTTGCCCAGAGAGCACAAAATAGATGTGGATGGGCCGATTGGTCTCAACGTGTATGAAGCCAGCGCAGGAGCGGGATCCGCAGGCAGTTTTTTGTTTTAGTTTACTTTGAACGTGTGTAGATGGCAGCACCAACTCGTGCTACTACAAGTAAATATAATGTAATTTCTTCGGGCGAATCACATCGTTTAATAATCATCGAACGTCACTTAGGTAAGTTCGTCTGATTTTCTATAATACCCGCCGGCGCGGGGCGCTTCGCTGTAGGTAAATTATCGGATGTACCGCGCGGAGTGAGCCAGGCCTTCCTACACATACAATGTTAACTTAATTAAATAATTACATGGTGACTTAACGTTTTTCTTTGTCGAGGTGAATAAATTATGAACTGAATAATTGCACTGGCTATTAACTAAAAAAATAAAAACATTTTTATTCATTCTCATAAAGTAATGGTCAGTTATTTCTGCAATACGATTTTAATAAAATTATTGTGTCTATCATTACTAGGACCGAGAAAATGGATGAATTGAGGCTCAAAGTGATGGTGTGGAGTGGAATCTACAAGTTACATACTAAAAATCGCCTTCTGGGTATATGCCACGACGTGTACAGAGTTCTAATGATATTATACATGTCGATATACACTGCCCAGCATTGCGTTTTCTTCTACATGGTAAGAAAATATGATTTGGGAAGTTTATTTATCACAAACACTGAAACTAATAAATGTATTTAGTAATTACATAATTTTATTTATCGCTTTTTAGTCAACTTACCTTGATGTTACAACTGAACGTGGTCAGTACATTTGTAAATAATGTTCTTACAAAATACAGGTTACTGTGTACTGCAACCTAAAAGTACTTCGACTTCAAAAAGTCGGTTTAGAAAACGGGATCATGTCAAATAGATTAACAAACCTTAAGGATTTAGACACAATTCACGTAGTAAAACGATTGAAATTATTCCGATTCAGGTTCAAAATACTTAAACTCATAAAACTCATTTTATTTTTGCAAGTAGGCTTTTAGAAAGCACTTTTATGAGAGTTTCCTTGATGACAATTTCTAATATTTTTAATTTATTGGAATACCTCAAAGGATGATGGGCATATTGGGCGTTAAACCAACAGAAACAAAAAGTATACTAAATTAAAGCTCAATACTAGTACTTCATTTTATAGTATGACAACAATCCTGAAATACGCGGGGATACGGAGATAGAGGTCGTTGAATATGCAAAGTTTCTATAGTATTTCACATCACATTAGGGTAATAAAAATAGTATTAGGTCAATTACATTGCTTTTATCGATCATATTGAGAGTATTGTATCATATCTTACTATCGATTCTATCGATTTAGTAAGTATGTATACCGAATAAATCATAAACGATTATTCGATTGAAATAATCGATTATATTGCTGAAAATAAGGAATTGAATTAATATAATCAAATGATTGTAATGATGGTAATAAATAAAATCGATTAATCGATAAATCGTTATTTGGCAATATCGATTAATAATCGATCCGTGATCGATTATGCGACAACACTAAAGCTTAACTGGTAGAAATCCCATTGAAACATGACTGTGTTCATTTCATTTCTCTAAATGGTACCTACGAGTAGTTGTGGTCCTACGCACGGAATGTAGAACTTGGACTTATTTTATACAATTTGTTGGCCCCACTCCTTAACTGTTGGACATAATAATTGATAAATAACTTAATGTATCAATGTAGGTATATTAATTGATTATATTTTTTGTTTGCGCAATAAAACACCTATGACTATTATACATTATGTCAATTTCCAAGCAAACCCGGGAGTTTTTGGTAGTTATTTATATGAAAAAATATTTCTGATACTAAGTCCTAACAAATAATAGTAATTACATTTCTGTTGGTTTTACGCCCAGATTCCATAGAAAAGTGCCCATCATCCTTTATTTAGATTATTTTTGCAGAATGTTACACGTGGGGACGTAATTAACTGGCAAGTGGCCGTATTCAGTCTAACAATGTTAAACATGGTTGTTAAAGTCATCACAATTTACATGCACCCTGAGAGCATAGATGAAATACATGATTTAATTAAAGGTGAGTGGTTTTCAATGGTAGTGGTTGACAGTGCAGCATAGGACGTCCACCCACAAGGTATACCGACCGACGACCTCATAAAGATACCAGCAGAGTTAATACAAATGAGTAGGTCATCTTCATAGAAACGCACGGGTGCGGTTTGTATGTGAGCGCGCCAACACGTATGTGGCGCGCACGCACACACTGACAAAATTTAGCGGGGATTAGCTAGCGGGGAGCCAGTCGTGGCACAAGTCGTGGTTGCGCCGAATTTTGTCAATGCGTGCGTGCGCGCCGCATACGTACATATTGGTGCGCTCACACACAAACCGCGCTTGGTGCGATTCTATGAAGATGACCTACTCATTTGCATTTACTCTGGTACCAGGAAGGCACTGGATGCAGTCATACCAACCGGCCATTACGAAAATCATTGGGAGAAGCCTAGGGTAGAGGGTTCAGCAGTAGACGTCCTATGGCTGAAATGATGAGTGGTTCTCCATAGTTTAGATATCGATACCTCTGGGCTCAAAGGTCGTAAAGGACAAAGTACGACTTTTCAGGAGAAGCAAAAAACGTTTTTTTATTTTTTTTATTCGACGATAACTTTTTTGTTTTTTGAGCTATTAAATTATGACTTATGAAGAAAGTGCTTAGAATTCACAACATTTTCCGAAGAGGTATTGAAAAACTGGACTAGACCTGTATTTACTGAGATACATTTCCTTTACGCCCTCAAAATTACAATAAAAAGACCTTTACGCCCCTCAAATATTCGTCCTAGGCAAGTTACTCAGGACGTAAGTCTATTTTTATTTCACAAAACTACAAAACTAAGGTAATAAATGACAATTTACATAGTTTTGTAGGTTTTCATAGGTCGTAACGGGACACCCAGGTAAGGTATTATGAAAGGGTAAATTGATGATTTAGCTTAAATATTTAATATTTTATGGTATTTCATATGTCATATGCCATTTCTTCACATATTTTTAATGAATTATGGTCTTTTAAATGAAATAAAATGATTTCCCGTAGGTTCATAATTTAATGCACACAATTTATGAAACTATTTAAGTAGAAGTTTTGATATCTTCGAACTAGAAGAAACTATTTCCGATATAAAAACGAAATTACAAAATAAATATTATGACGCTTTTAAATAAAACTTCATATATGTCTACTTTATAGGAAAAACTGAAACCAATTTCACTTTATTTATTTATTTAATCATTTTATTGTTTCGAAAAACTACAAATAGCGGACTTAATTCCATAGGGCAGTCTGTCCACCAGTTGATCTTATGATAATGCAGATAGAATAGAATTATTAAGGACAAACGAAAAACTATAATTATTTTAAATTCTAAATAGATTAAACATTATTAATTCATAGTAGTTTAAAATTATGTCATTGTACTTGGTATAAAAGTAGAAAAGTTAGGTAAGAAAGAAAGAAAGAAAGAAAAAAAGTAGGAAGGTTTTCATTTCATTAAAGTACATCCACTTACTTTACTCCTACATAATACCGTTTTTAAAAGCCAATAATTTTTAATAAAAAACTGCATTCATGCTTTTTAGTAGATTAAGTCTCAACATATATTTTCCCATGTTGTGGAAATATTTTTCCTACTAGTTATACTCTATAAGCTGATCCAAATAACTTTAGAAACTATACTAATTTATTATAATTGTAACAGTCAAAGCTCAAAAGTGGTTTTGACCAAGGGCGTTAGTCAAAAAAAAAAACATACATAAAGTCGAACATATAACCTCCTCCTTTTTTGACTCGGTTAATTACTAGGAAATCATTAAAAATAATTGTAAAGTGTAGCATTTGTGTGATTTGTGCATACAAAGAATGACACCTAAGGTACTACAGTAAGGTGACTTTTTTACTCATAATATTTTTAACAAATCTAGCTTTTTCATTTTTCAATTTTTATGATGACTATTTTAACAACTTAATTAGGTAATACGTTATTTAATAATAATAATAAAAATGTTTATTTGGCACGGAACAAGCAATTATTTATATATATTTTGTAGCATGTTTTTATTTTCTTGAATCATCTTTTAATAATTATCTTTTACCTGACAAATACCTAGTTTCTTCAAATATGAGAAATAATAAAAAGCAACATTACTTTACCCGATGTGGGTAGATGTCATCATTTTATATGTACAAATCACATAAACGTTACACTCTAAAATAGTTTTATTACATATTTTTGATGATTTTTTAGGTTCTTTCGTTTGTTCCAAATGCACATACTTAAATACTATAAGAAACGTCTATAAAATTTACCTTCACAGTTATTTTAATATTCTCACTGTGTAGATTTTTAAAATATTTGTTTAGATAATCTAAGGGCGTAAAGGACAAATTATTTAGACGTGGGTATGAAAATGTAAGGTTGTATAGGACAATAGATATACTACGTGTACATTATACGCCCAAAAATTTGTGTTTACTTGTTCTTTACTACCATGGTAACTGTACTAAAAAATCAAATGGTATTTACATCCCAATTTTCACGATAAATTCTGTTTAGCTTATCAAATATGATGGGTCGTAAAGGCACTTTTTTTGGGAATTTCGACAAACTAAATATACAGATCGATAGAGAATTAAATTCTGAGTAAAACTGTATAAATAACTCATTTTCGGTATTTTGTCCTTTACGACCTTTGAGCCCAGAGGTATCGATATTGTAGTATGAAGTATTCTATTTGTAATTGCTTTTAAATTAAGTGTATTCCTAACTGAGATATGTGTTTCACCACTGTAAATCTAATTAGCTACTTTTTACTCAAGTTACTAGAAATTGTAATTAAAAATAAATTTTAATAACTTGCTTCAGTATGGTCGTCCATTTTTCATCATTATGGGTGCTTATTGCATTCGGTTATTTATCAATGGTAATTACCCTTAACCTACTAAGTTTTAGCTTAATTACAATGATAGTTAAGTTTTTATTGGCGATCAAGCTATAGATCCTGGCTACACCGGAGTTGCAGTGGTGGGAACGAGAGGTGGGAAAAGTGCTTGTAATATTTTTATTCAACATTTAATTCCGTTCCTAGATCCTATGTTTGCTGCAACATGTAAGGAAGATGAAGATGTCATCAAGAAAAATGAACATCACATTGGTTTGTATATAAAAATCACGTACCTAGCGGTGATTGCATGCTTGTTTTTTTGGGTGGCTTTAATTATTGTCACCAGAGTTGTGGATGACACTGCTATACCCCCATCGTATTTTCCGTTTGCTACTAATCCGTGGCCACAGTAAGTTTCTTATATCGGACTAAATAGTACTTCGTGTTTTTGTTCTGTTTTTAACCAAATCATTCATATTAATAGGTACATAATCGCTACATTTGTGGAAACTGTGGGATCCACCTTCTGGGCTGGATTCGGGCACATGAGTATAGACTGCAGTGTAGCGTGCTACTACGCCCGTGCTACAGCTCAGCTGAGAATTATAAGATACCACTTGGAGCATTTGTTTGACAACGGTGGAGCTCAGGGTCGTTTTCAATATAAAGATGTTCTAGACAGAAGTTTAGACGAGAAATTCGTTTACTATATTCGGCGCTATCAATATGTCAATAGGTAATTAACAAAAAATATAAATTAAATATAAATTAAGTATAATCCTGCCAATGTATTATGCATGCTAATCTGCAACAAGGAAATCCATTTAAAAATTTGCATTTTAATAATATGTTTTATACATTTAAAGTAAGTAATTTTATGTGATAATTATTACACATTTTCATCTTTAAGTGACTGGTTTCAGGATGATTGATAGCGTGAGTGACGGTTTTAACTGGGGTATAGCATTTCATATATGTAGCGTGACAACCGGCATCAGTATGTGTGTCTTTGTAATGAGCACCGTAAGTACAATTAATTAAAAAAAAACAAGAAAATTAATAAAACTCTTTCAGATGTTCATCTGCCTGTTATTTGAAGCGTAAGTATCTATTACAATAGGCTTTTCGCCTAAATTTCAATAATTAGTTAATAATATACCTTGATGCCTATTTTATACAAATGCGCTCTTATTTTGGAAAAAAATCTCATCTCCAAGGATTATTTTGCATTTTAAATAATATTTGACATAAAGCCCTCAAAAACGCTCACGACCGTCATGGCGTCTTGAGTGACGTCACGCCTTGCAAAACACAGCTGTTTTAGTACGGAAATTGTAAAGTTATTTTTATTACAAATTATTTATTTATTATTTATTTATTATAATTATACGTACCAAACAATCAGCAGATACGTAAAAAGTGGCTGACACTCGCAAGAAAATATGATGCCCATAACAAAATCAAGGATGTATTTTTGTAAAGATCATTTCAATGTAAGATAATAATATTACACAACATAATCTGATATCATGAACTACCTACATAAATAATGAAATTGTTGAACTTTGTTTAAGAATAACGTTAACAACAAAATGAGGTTAGGAATTATTCATGACATTTTTACCAACAAACAAAGACTTCACTTTTTTTTTAATTTCACGGCTCTGGGTCAAAACTTCACATGAAGAAAAGTGTTCATTTAAAATATGATTTACTATTTTTTTTTTTAAATCCTTTGGTAAAATTCCAAACAAATTGATGTGTACAATTTAACCGACTAGGTGATAGTGCTTTTAAAAAATCGGTAAAAAATATAGCTTATTTATACCGAAAAATGTTTCAAATAATCGTAATCCACACTAATTTACGCTTTTAATTAATAAATTAGAAACACTGTGTGATTAAATTTAACAAAATTACAAATTAAATATGCATTCGCAAAAGTTACTTGAAAACACTATAAAAAACTTTTCATAATAAAACACAAGTGTTAATTGTCACGGCAAAAACCATATGGCCAATATTCAATGAATTTAGTTGTGTATCGCTGAGTGTTGCAATTACAGACATTCAATAAATATGAGGGTGGTACAATTTACCCGGCGGTACAATATACCGAACTCTCCCCTATATAATTTAATAAAGTAGATAAGCATGCAGAGCATGCAGCATGAAAGCAAGCATGCAGCATGCATTGGTATCTCCTCGTCTCCGACGCTGCGGGATGTGCAGCCCTTCCGCCCTTGCGTAACGAGGCTCAGGCACGTTTCTGTCACGTCAGTTTTGTGGCACAAAATATTGTCTGTTTTGTACCATTTCAAATTAATTTAATGTTAAAATACGATTTAATACGAATATAGACATCATGATTTTCAGTAATATGGATAAATACAGTTATGAATAAAAAATTTATGAAAAGAAATATTAGGATACATCACATTTATGAATATTATAATTATTTATTCGAATGATTATGAGTTTCGATCATTAGTATATAAAAATATATGAATACAAATATTAGTAAAAATTAAGTGTATGAAGTGTATGATTAGTGATATTATGAATGTGGAAAACGGAACGTTGATGAGTGAGTGAAAGGTTTGAATGAATGTAAGAATGGAACGAATGGATATACCTACCTAAATTCAAATAAATTTATTTATTTAAGATGGCGAGACTCTGATTTTTGCTGCAAAGACGAGCGTGTAGTGTGGTTTTCAAATAAAAGACGATAATATTTTCCAAAATCAAGTGTTCATATTTCGTTCACAAGACGATCCCACAACATTTTTGGGGGCTCGTCCGGGATCTCTCAAGAATATTGGCGACGGTATTCCTTGAGCGTGAACGAAAAGTACGTGAACAACTTGTGCACGACGACGGCGGCCGGCACGTGGTGCGAGTCACCGCGAAATTTTCATTGTGGCGACCAGGACGCTCGATTTTCTGCTGCGACGGGTATCCGGCGACTTCCTTACGATTAAAAACGATGACGACGACGACGACGAATGCAAGGAGGAACCTGTTTCAAGTCGGAGCAGTGAAACCGACCACGAGGACGACCACGCGCACGACGGTTACGACGATTACGACGATCACCAGACGACGATTAGTAAGCAGACGACGACGCCAAGCAAAATGAATTCAGGTGCAGTAAACCTAATGTTCGTGGAAGAAGCCATACCGAAATTCTGTGGCACCGACAAAACCTACTCCGTCTCAAGATGGGCGCAGGAGATTGAAGACAATACTGAAATATTCGGATTGACGTCAACACAGCAGCTTCTGATTGCTAGAAGGTCGCTCACTGGCACGGCGGCAACGTGGCTACGATCAGAAAAACCCTTCAAAACCTACGATGACCTGAAAACGGCCCTAACCAGAGAGTTTCCAGACACCACGAACACTAAAGAGATCCACAAATTAATGGCGAGTAGAAAGAAGAGGAAGGATGAAAAGTGCTACGATTATATGCTTGACATGAAAGCTATTGGGAAAAAAGGCAAGCTGGCCGATTATGTTGCAATCCAGTACATAATCCAAGTTATAGTAGATTCAGAGTCGAACAAAATCATGCTATACGGAGTCAAGACGTACTCAGAGCTGAAAGAGAAGCTACAGCTGTACGAAGCCTTCAAGGAGAAGTCTCGAAACAACTACGCGGCCAATAGACGTCAAGAAGAGCGAGATATGAACGCAACACCAAGAAGAGGGTCGAGTGTACGCTGTTTCAACTGTGGCGAGTGGGATCATACATCGAGTGCGTGTCCTCATCGTTCAAAAGGACTCAAGTGTTTCCGTTATAATTCGTAAGGATATATTGCTGCGCAGTGCAATAGCAACGAGCACCCAAAATTGTGTCGATGTAAACAACAATTTAAAGACTCTAATGAATTATTCAAGGTTTAACTTTTAAACGTTTGCTTGATAGAGGTAGTGATGTAAATTTAATAACATGTAAAGCATTGTTCACTTTAGGAATTACGAAGTTTACCCAAGAAAATGTAATGGTTACTGGGCTCGGAAAGAAACAAGTAAGTTCTTTTGGCAAATTCACTGCACCAATTGAGGTAGACAATCATAAATTTCAATGCATATTTCACATTATTCCCGATGACGTAATACCCTACGATGTAATTTTAGGGTGAGTTCTTGCGAGACGTGGTTATGAGTAAGAGGTCAATCAAGGTTTTTTCCAAAGCTGAAAGTAACACTGACGATTGGTTAGGGCAAATATCGTGTGTTGTAGGCTACGAATCCCCATGCTATGCTTCTAACCCACAGGTCAGACAGGAAGTTGATGATTTGGTAAACAGTTATGTCCCAGTGCAATCCAAGGAGGCACCCATCGAGATGAAGATCATACTTAAGGACGATATTCCAGTTGCTCAGCGACCGAGACGATTATCTGTGATGGAGACCAAGGAAGTAGACAACCAAATAGGTGAGTGGCTCAACGATGGGATAATAATACCTAGTTTTTCAGAATATGCTAGCCCGCTTGTTTTGGTAAAGAACAAAAAAAAGGATGTGGTGCATGCATTGATGCATACAGATGCATCAATGCATGCATATGCAGCCATACTAATGCAACTATGCCCAAACGACGGAAAGATGCATCCAGTTTATTATTCCAGCTGCAAGACTACTGACAGTGAGAAGTACACCAGTTACGAGTTGGAAGCATTGGCAGTTGGTCAAGTAGTGAAGAAGTTCCGCAAATACTTGCTTGGGATTCCCTTCAAGATTGTCACCGACTGTGCTGCTTTCGAGATGACCCTAAAGAAGAAAGATCTGGTCACTAGAGTCGCGCGCTGGGTACTGCTGCTACAAGAGTACGATTACACAGTGGAACACCGACCTGGAACTAAAATGAGGCATGAGGGCGCATTGAGCAGAGTGCAGTACTTCACAGGAATGATAACTAGACAACTACACGAGCGAATCAAGAGAGCACAAGAAAATGATGAAGGGCTGAAGGCCATCATTGAAGTATCGAAGAAGGAACCATACTTAGACTATTATATAGAGAATGACTTACTCTATAAAACTCAACAAAAGCTGCTAGTTATACCAAAAGATATGGAAACTGAAATTATCAGCAAAGCACATAGTATTTTGGCAAAAGAAAGATGATTGATTACATAAGCAAAGACTGCTACATAAACAAGACTTGACAAAAAAGATAGAAGACTTTATTTTAACTTGCATACCATACATTTTAGCTACGAAGAAGGAAGGAAAACAAGAAGGTTTCCTTAATCCTATCCACAAAGAAGGTATACCATTGTCTGCATTGCACATAGATCACATAGGACCGCTCACTGAAACAAAAAAGCAGTACAACTACATTTTGACAGTCATCGACGCTTTCACGAAGTTTGTATGGATCTATCCTGTAAAAAGTACGATAGCAAAAGAAACTTTAGACAAGCTCAAGATTCACCAGCAATGTTTTGGCAACCCCTCGAGAATTATAAGCGACAGAGGTACCGCCTTTACGAGCAATGACTTCAATGATTACTGTGACGCAGAGAACATTCAACATGTGACCATCACAACAGGAGTTCCACGAGGAAATGGGCAAGTAGAGAGGGTACATCGAGTAATTGTGTCTGTACTTACCAAACTGTGCATTGAAGAGCCAGGACATAGGTACAAGCATGTTAGTAAGTTGCAAAGAGCATTGAACTGTACTTACCAGAGAAGTATTTCCACCACCCCATTTGAACTGATGATTGGCATGAAAATGAAGATGAAAGAAGATACACAGATAATAGATTTGTTGGAAAAAGAAAATCATGAAGAATTTATCAAGCAAAGAGAAGACTTAATAGATGCCGCGAAGATACAAATTTTAAAAATTCAGGAAGAAAATATGCGAAGCTACAATAGAAAGAAGAAGCAGAGCAAGAAGTATCAGGTTGGAGACCTAGTTGCTATTAAGAGAACCCAGTTTGGTACGCATTCTAAATTAAAGTCCAAGTTTTTAGGACCTTACAAGGTGGTAAGTATCAAGGGAAGGGATCGTTATGATGTCTCAAAGTTGCATAGCATGGTGGAGGGTCCCCACAACACTTTTAGTTCAGCAGACTTTATGAAACCGTGACCGGAACCTTGATTGATTCTTTTTTTTCATATTCGCAGGTATCTTTTTGACTTAACTTAAACAAGACTTAAAATTATTTTATGTTAAACTAAAGCGTTATTTATATATTTCTCCATAACAACAGTAGTGGTAAGAGTAAAATATCTATATTTGTATAATTTAATAAAATTGCATAATGATGTGTCAAGTGATACTTATCTTGTAACATTTCTACATTTGATAAAATGTTATTGTTTGGTATTGTATACTGAATTAAAGTCGTTTTCGATTTGAAAGGTGGTAATTTACCAAAGTTATTGTATGAACTTACTAATTTTAGTTAATCAAAGTATAATGTAACAGTGCGCAGTAGTAGCACTTGAAAGTAAAGTTTAGTACAATAAGTGTAAGATTGTATAATTGCATTATAGCTTCACTAGCTTTCCGCCCGCGGCTTCGCCCGCGTGGAATTTTGTCTGTCACAGAAAAACTTTATCGCGCGCGTCCCTGTTTCAAAAACCGGGATAAAAACTATCCTATGTTCTTTCCCGGGACTCAAACTATCTCTATGCCAAATTTCATCAAAATCGGTTGCGAGGTTTAAGCGGGAAAGCGTAACAGACAGACAGACAGACAGACAGACAGACAGACAGACAGACAGACAGACAGACAGACAGACAGAGTTACTTTCGCATTTATAATATTAGTTGGGATAAGCATTCTGCAATTGTTTTAGGTGTGAATGACGATGATGAATGATCTGCCCCCCTAGACAAAACGCACTTTTTGATCGAATCGAAAATCGAATCCGTCAAAACTCCATACAAGAAATGGGCTTTTCGACCACTTTGCGACTGGTTTGCGATTATAATTTGCACTTTGTCTAGACCCACTGGTATGACTGAGGACAGTCAGCGAGCAGGATGGCCGTATGTGGGAAACGGAACGTTGATGAGTGAGTGAAAGGTTTGAATCAATGTAAGAATGGAACGAATGGATATAAATTCAAATAATTTAAGATGGCGAAACTCTGATTTTTGCTGCAAAGACGAGCGTGTGGTTTTCAAATAAAAGACGATATTTTCCAAAATCAAGTGTTCATATTTCGTTCACAAGATCCCACATGAATTTCAATGATTATTATGTTTTTAAATATGTAGTTTTTTAAATTTTATGAAGAATGATCATTATGGTTATGAGAAATATTTTCGGACCTCCAATGATAGGAATTGAAAAGTTATGTAAGAAAATTGTTACTTTAGTTTAGATTGAAACATATTTTAAAATTTGATCTGTTTAAATCCTACTTTTGTTTTGGTTTCAGAGAGACATCTTCTCATTGGATATGTTATTCATGGTTACCATATTTGTCCTTCTTCTATTAGGAAATTTTATGTACTGTTACTGCGGAGACTTGGTGAAAAGCGAGGTATGAGCATCTACTTGAAGTTAGGTACCTATCAATAACTAAGTATTATTCCTATGAATATTTAATTTTTGTTTGACAGTGGAATAGCTTTTAGTTTTCGTGTCTTTAATTTTTCAATATCTTGGTGGGGGCACTGCCGTGCCCCCGCCAAGTCCAGGCCAGGAAATCTTTAACGTTTTACATAAATATATTGACTTGGCCATCGCATGAAAACACGTGTAAATTAAATTATTTAGTGCGATGGCCAAGTCAATATATGTATGTAAAACGTTAAAGATTTCCTGGCCTGGACTTGGTATTACATGGATCTCACAACTTTTTACCGTAGAACAACTGAGTTGCGAGACTTGTTTTTTTTGACAAGTATTGTTTTTGATGGGATACCTAATTTCCAAAACCAAAAGACGTCCAATACTGGCTGCTGTTTCATTTATTATTTTTCACATTTTTTTTGTCTGTTTCTTATTATTTGGGCTAAATTCTCCCCAACCCGCCTGGGGAGTGTAGGCAAAATCCTCCATTTGCTGTAAAGTAACGGTCGCTTCGTGCTCTTGCCTTAGTTAGAGACTAAATGACTTGGTGATGGTGATGTTAGTACCTACTTAGAAATTACGTAAAAATTTTTTGTTAAGGTTAAAGAAATGTATTAATATTAATGGTTGTTTTATGTTATTTCTGATTTTAGAGCGATCAGGTGTGCACGTCAATGTACTTCAGTGATTGGACAGTAGTGTCGCCGCGGTTCCGGCGTATGATGCTGATAGCAATGCCTCGCTGGGCGCGTCCGATCGAGCCTCGTGTGACCATTGTACCCATCTCGCTTACTACATTCGCATCGGTATGAGTAGTTTGATTTTTTTTTATTTTACGAATTTATTACCACCTCAACCTAGACAGACGGATTGTAAACCTTTTCTATTTACCTCTGTCAAAAAAAAAGGTTGTGCTTTTGTAGCAAAACTAAATGAGCTGATGGTGATGATAATACATTTGAACAGACTTCTTGATAAGGCCAGCAGTAGAGTACCTAACCAGTGTTACCAACATCAACACCATGCTTCGTAAAAATCTTTTTTTAGTATAATCAATGTCATTGCTGTCTAAATGTTATACGAAAGACGTACCTATTTCTCCAAAATTTCGCCTGTCTTGCCTGTTATACTGGAATAGTTACTGATTTTATATTAAAGAAATAATATCTGCTAAGTGGTCATGTTCTAACTTCAATAACAATTGCTAATAATATTGTTTTGTTCCAGATTTTACGTTTCTCATACACATTGTACACCATGATGAGAACTAGAACGATGTAGAAATTGAGATTCTTAATTAGTATTTGCACTATTAATTTTCCTGATCTATGTATAACTAGCTGACCCGGCGAACTTTGTTCCGCCTTAATGGCAATAAATAACGGGATAAGAAGTATCCTATGTCCTTCTCCTGGCTCTAAACTACCTCCCTGACAATTTTCAGCTAAATCAGTTCAGCCGTTCTTGAGTTATAACTGGAGTAACTAACACGACTTTCTTTTATATAATAGAAGATGTAATCCATGTTTTACATTACCATGTTGATTTTTAATCCTTTCTTTTAATTATAAGGCACATACAATAATACTGAATCTCTATCATAACATTCTCGCAAAAATGCATTCATTTACACATCTTGTATTTTCTGTTCCTGTTTACTCACACTTGAAAAGCAATATTCTATGTACAAATATTTGTGAAAACTTTTTTGCAAATATTAGGTTTAATTTTTGTAATTCTTGTACTGAATAACATGCACAACAATAAAATAAAATAAAAATGTTTTTTTTTTTCAATTCCATACTTTTAGTTTTCGAGTTATACCACTAGCTCAAGACGCTGGTAAATATAAGAGAGTCGTGCTCCTGCAGTGGAGACTATCTATATTATACAGGGTGTTTGGCGCATCGTGTGCCAAAATGATTTGGCGGATAGAATGGGTCATTTCCTATATTTTCAGCCCTCATAACACGTTCCATGTCAGGCGGCTACTTTTATATCAAGTTTTTTAGTAATTTCACCAAAATACCCAAATCGCATCATTTAATTTCGATTTAAAAAAAAACTACTAAGCGTAGCCTCAAAGTAAATATTTTGTTTTGACGTGCATTGATATAGGGTTGCATCAAATCTAAATTTACTGGCAAATATCATCTAGTTTTTTTTTAATTCAGCTTTGAACTTTTCCGAAAAGTTAAAAATGGACTGAACATTTAAGTTTACATTATTTTACACTAGACATGAAGAGTATGGTCTCAATGTACTGCCTACCTTCAGTGGTAACATCAAGGTAATAATTAGTTAACTAAAAAGCAATAAATAAGTAAAATTTTATAAAAAAAAATAAAACCGACTCCAAAAAACCTACATTAAAAAGTAGAAAAATAATTACTAATAATACTTATTTATTAGGACGAATTAAAATTTATGTAGGTATACCAGGATTGATACTTTTGGAGTCGGTGCAGGCAAACTTTACATGTTTCATAATCTTGGCACCGACTCCAGAAGTATCAATCATGGTATACCTACATAAATTTTAATTCGTCCTAATAAATAAGTAGGTTATTAGTAATTATTTTTCTACTTTTTAATGTAGGTTTTTTGTTTCTTTTTGAGGTGCCGAACTGCCGAACCCTAAAAAAAGCTAGATTAAATCGAACTAAGTAGTGACAAACGGAATACCTAATAAAAGCATTGAAAATGTTCACGCGCAGACCACGCGGGGAAACCCTGCCCAAGAATTATTTTTACCGTGCGAACTCGTCACAGAAACACGTCATACATTTTTTATTAAACATTCTTGTGGTCTAGAAAAAAATAAAATCTTTTAAACGGAACGAAAGTAACCTGCGAAAAACGCCAGAGCGAAGCAATATCGGAATTGCAACTGTCACATTTGTGAATTTGTTCTCATTATCATCATCATCTCAGCCATAGGACTGCTGTCCACTGCTGAACATAGGCCTCCCCCCCAGCCCCCCAATGCTTTCCATGTTGCCCGGTTGGTAGCAGCCTGTGTCCAGCGCCTTCCTGCTACCTCTATGATGTCGTCGGTCCACCTTGTGGGTAGACGTCCCACGCTGCGTTACTGGTACGCGGCCTCCACTCCAGAACCTTGCTACCCCATCGGCCGTTAGTTCTGCGTACTATGTGCCCTGCCCCTTGCCACTTCAGCTTGCTAATCCGTCGGGCTATGTCAGCGACTTTAGTTCGTTTAAGGATCTCCTCATTTCTGATTAGATCTCGTAAGAGCAGTTCTACTTCGGTGTAATTTTTAGTATTGTCAAATCTACTTTAGTATTGTAACTGGGATGACGACAGCCCTCGAAGGATGCAGACAATGGCTCTATAAATAATGCTATAGAGTCGAAATTCGGCCAGCATCACTCGATAATGGCTTTGGGGTGAACATGGGGGCTGATGAGGGTTACGTACAAACTCACAGCATAATGCCATAATATTTGGTAAGAAATTCTTATTTATGCTTAGTACATGTCGTGTAACTATTTTTATTTTATGAAGGATGAGTTTAAGTGAAAATTTATTTCAAGTAGGTAGATCCAATGTGCTTGGCCCATTTATAACAATTGCTACGGTAATCGGTGAATACTGTAGTAACATAAGTAGATAAATACTAGGTGTTATTTTGCAACGAAAAGAAGAAAATAAAACTGTCGAATGTACTTACTACGATTGCAATGTAGCGATTGCGAAGCTGCAATGTATTACATTTTACCATACATAGTTAGCTATTAAAATTATATTATTTTATATATACCCGTATATCTGTCATTTATGAATAAAGGGTTAATACTTGACTTTCTTCCCAGTTACAACATTTTTTTTTAATATCACCAACATCTTTTAATTTATAATTCCTGCTAAATTTATATTTGATGGTGCAAAAAAATTAAAAACAAGTTTTCTTTCTCTTAACCAATGCGTATTTATAACTATAAAAACATTATTATTTATCAGCAATCGGCTATAAAAGTAAAAACGCATACAATAAATAAAAAAATAATCGTTTGTCAGGTGTGGGGTTCGAACCCACGCTCCCTCTCGGGAACCAGAGCTTAAATCTGGCGCCTTAGACCACTCGGCCAACCTGACTTGACAAAAGCGGTCGAATTGTCAGTGTAGTTCTAATAACAATACCTTGAATATGGATTAATTCGAATTTTTCAAACATTGGTATATTTTTAACGCTTTTTTCTATGTATTTCATAACCAAGATTATAATTTACCCTTTAACATCAGAAGAAAATGAACATATTATTCTTGGTAAGTACTGGCATGGTTCCTATAGAATTCAATAACCAAGTGTTAACTTCTAATAAAATTCGATCTTAAAACTGATCTTATCCCGTAATTCCAATCTTTGAAACACTATGTTTATGCAATTTAATAAATTATTTATTTAATTTTATCAATGTCACAACAATATAACAAACGCCATCTATTGAGATTTTACTGCACCAACACTGTTCAGCGACACCAACGGGTTTACCTTAGCGTTCATAGATGTCGCTAAATGTAATTTATACGCTGCTGACTTTAGTTTAATAAATCAAACCATTTTATATTCTTATTTTAAGTTATTTTTATTTCATTTTAGTGTTTTTGTTTTTTAGTTCTTTGCTAAGTAGATACGTGCTTTACGGTGGCGGCGCCACAGTTCAAATACGATAATCCTACTACCGCTCATGCTCACCAGATGGCGCTACTGTCTTTGCCATATGCGAGTGACCCCAATAGAGAACAATAAAAACAACATAAATAATGAAGTTCTAGATGTTCATAACAGACTCCTCAATCATTTGAAAAATCTTAACTATCCTACATTGTTGCTACATTACAATCGAAGGACGAATTGGAATGTAAAAAAAAACAACGTAGGTACTAGCTAACGTTTTTTTTATGAGATGTACGGTGACTGGCTGTGTTGCAGTCGCTGCTGTTATAATACTGGCAGTCGCTATATTTAAAACAAAGAGGTAAAAAAATGTCAGTCTTGCTACGTCTGTAATGTTCACGTCATAAGTATGTCCAATGAAAGAAATAAAAAGAACAATGAATCTTATCGATTTTTCCAACGCCTTCAACACAGTTGATCATGAAGTCCTCCTATCGATGCTATCCCGTTACAATTTGTCACCGGTTGTTATGGATTGGTTCGCCTCTTACCTCTGCGGGCGCCAACAGGCGGTACGCATTGATAAAACTGTTTCCCACTGGCGTGACCTTCTGACCGGTGTCCCGCAGGGTGGCATACTTTCACCTTTACTTTTCTCTATTTTTATTAACTCTATTACCCACAATATTGGCTCATCTCACCTCCGCCTCGACAACGTATACACTCATGACATCTTCGACTGTTGTCGTATGCAGCCTCATTTCTCTTTTTATTACTATAAAGGCGTTTTCTATTCGTTGTTGTAGTTCTTCTAATGTTTGAACTTCCGTTACGTACACCAGTTCATTACCTCGTCCCCAGACGTAAAAATCTAACGGAGTTAGGTCTGGGGAACGTGCAGGCCACTGTATAGGACCAGTCTAAATTAGAAGAAGATGTCGTTACTTAGTGTATATGTTGCCGAGGCGGACATTTTGAACAAAATTTGTAATAATTAATAAACGATCAAAATATTTATTTTCGTCTTTAATTTCAAGGAATCCATATTGAAAAACGATAGAGAATAGGTTTTTTACATTGCATAAGATAAATATTTTTTACCTGCTAATTCAGCTTTGTGAATTAAAAAAAAACTAGATGATATTTGCCAGTAAATTAAGATTTGATGCAACCCTATGTCAATGCACGTCAAAACAAAATATTTACTTTGAGGCTACGCTTAGTAGTTTTTTTTAAATCGAAATTAAATGATGCGATTTGGGTATTTTGGTGAAGTCACTAAAAAACTTAATATAAAAGTAGCCGCCTGACATGGAACGTGTTATGGGGGCTGAAAATATAGGAAATGACCCATTCTATCCGCCAAATCATTTTGGCACACGATGCGCCAAACACCCTGTATATGTTACAGGAAATGTATGAATTCTAGGAATTGTATACTATTCCTAGGAAATGTATACAATTCCGAAGCTAGTTAGGAAATGTATAAAATATTGCTTCAGAGATTTTTTAATACGCACATATCCTAGGAAATGTAGGTATACTTTTCCTAGGAATTTTATAGAATTCCAATATTGTATTAGGAAATGTATAAAACTAAGCGGCACAAGCGCGGTCGCGTGGTCGGGTGTCCGCCTAAAATTTCATTTAGCCAAACCACATTGGCCGATAGATACTTTTAACTCACAATTATTATTGTTTATCCTGACAGTTGTTTTCGCACTATTATACTTTGGTCGAAAAAAATATTTGCCTAAAATTTATTGGCATACCTTTCTTTCGGCATCACGCATATTACGCTGAAGTATTGGAAATCCCTAATTTTAACATCTCTTTTATTAAACTATTATTGACATGAAGGTTTTAGTACTCCTGTAGCTGGATAACAAAGTCTCGGTTAGGTTACGTTAAACTTGCGACCTTACACATACACAGCTGCTGCGGCGCCGGAGCGCCATTTAAGTTTCGGAGAACAAAAAGTGGCGTAATAAAAATAATTTTGTGTAAAAAAAATATCTTAATTACATTTCCGATTGCTGTTTAGGAAATGTGTCTAATATAATTTACATCACACATTTCCGGGTGATTTTAGGACTTATACACAATTCCTAGGAATTGTATACAATGACGGATTTCATACATTTCCTGTAACATATATATAAATATATGACCTGATGATGAAGACAATTGCGCATACAATGTTAACTTAATTCAATAATTATACAGTGACCTAAACGTTTTCTTTGTAATATGCGCTGCGGTCGTGGTGAATAATTTATGGGCTCAGTAATTAGCTAATTACCTACTCAAAAATTTTAAGGTTAATAAGGTAACGATCACAATTCTGCGATCGTATTCTAACAAAATGGTTGTGTCTTTTAGGACCGAGAAAATGGATGAATTGAGGCTCAAAATGAAGGTGTGGACTGGAGTCTACAAGTTACACACTAAAAATCGCTTTCTGGGTATATGCCACGATGTGTACAGAGTTCTTATGATATTATACATGTCCATATACACTGCACAGCATTTCGCTTTCTTCTTCATGGTAAAATATGATGTGGGATAAGTACCTATAATAATTGTAAAATTTAGGTTTTTTTTTATAACAAAACCTGAAACATAGGTGTGTTTCAGGTTTTGTTATAAAAAAAAACCTTGTTAGTTAATCAAGTTTTGTAAACAAGTCTGCAACATTATTGTTAGAACTTATATATTTAAGAGATACATTACTATGAGACACCTGATCTAATAAATATTTATATTTTATGNGCTATCACGGCGTGCCCGTCCAGATCCCGTCACTACTAAAAACGTGTCAGTGTTACTCACAACAATTGCCGGTTTTCCCATTAAACTCCATAACGACACTAGTGATATCTGCCGAACTATTTGAGCTTTAAGCGTGGGATTTTTACAGCATGCACTTTTCGCGGAGCGCTGATAGATGGCGTTGTTAACTCAATTTCTCCAAATTTCGTATAGTGACGGTTTGATTATGAACGTGCGATATCTTAGTATTCGTTTCAAACACTTAAATAATGCCATACTAGCACAATGTACATATCTGCTTAAGAATCCTACTGCAACTGACAAGTCAGGTCTAGTACATGTAGCATAAAGTAAACTACCTATTAGACTTCTACAGGTTTTTTCAATATCTAAATTTTCAGACTTATCTCTTTGTAATATTCAAAATTATAATTTTGTTCCATTGGTGTATCTACTGCTTTGCAATTTGACATTTGATATTTATCAAGTAACTTTTCTAAATACTTTTTCTGATTAANACACTTACCAATTTTATTTCGACGCTCGCTAAGGTTTGGCCGCGGAAGATTTTTGCTCTCACTGGCTAAACGAACGCACTCTTTGATGGTTTGCGAGGCGAAAAGTGGTATGGGGAGGTCCCTTTCTATTATACACACTATAACTTTATGCTAAGTTGCTTGTAACATAGTTTTTGGTGGTTTATTATGAAGAAGAGGCTTGTACTTTTAGAAAATAGATTTATTTGCACCGTAAGACACACAACGGAGACAAATATTTTTTACGGAAGGAGGGCCATAAGGTCATCGCTGCCAACATAAAATATTAAATGTTGCTATTATCAAAACACCCCCTCAACAATTAAATTTTATGACTTTACATACTGTTTATTGTACTGTACTACATTTTTACAATTTAGGACTTTTATTAAATGTTTATACAAACTCAACTTTGTAGTTTTATTTTAGCTTTAAGATTATACAATAATAGTTCCCCATATTATTTAAGTACTAGACTTCTAATTTCAAATTTAATACAAAATTAAGTTTCTGAATTTAACAAATAACTGTTTACCTAATGGTTTTGTAAACAAGTCTGCAACATTATTGTTAGAACTTATATATTTAAGAGATACATTACTATGAGACACCTGATCTAATAAATATTTATATTTTATGTCTATGTGTTTTAGTCTTTTATTGCTGTCATTATTAGAAACAATTTTTAGTACACTTTGGTTGTCTTCCAAGACTTCCAATAATATTATATTTGAATAGCCAAAATCATTTAAAAGTTTTTGTTAGAAACATCCTTCCATAACAGTTAAACTAAGTGCTACATATTCAGCTTCGCAAGATGACAGTGTCACACAAGACTGTTTTTTAGTACCCCAAGAAATTGGACAGTTAAAAATATAGAAAATCTGACCAGATGTCGATTTTCGATCTTGAATATCTCCAGCCCAGTCTGCGTCACTGTAACCTTGCAATTTCACATCATCATTCATCTTATATGTTAATTTATATAGTATAGATGACAAATCAATGGAACCTTTAATATATCTTAGTATTCGTTTCAAACACTTAAATAATGCCATACTAGCACAATGTACATATCTGCTTAAGAATCCTACTGCAACTGACAAGTCAGGTCTAGTACATGTAGCATAAAGTAAACTACCTATTAGACTTCTACAGGTTTTTTCAATATCTAAATTTTCAGACTTATCTCTTTGTAATAATTCAAAATTATAATTTTGTTCCATTGGTGTATCTACTGCTTTGCAATTTGACATTTGATATTTATCAAGTAACTTTTCTAAATACTTTTTCTGATTAATTTTAGTAACATTGTTTTTTAGGTCTTGATTAATATTTATTCCCAGATAGTAACTTGCAAGTCCTAAGTTTTCATTTGAAAATTACAATTTAACGCATCTTTGAGACCATTTACTAATTTTTCATTTTGACCAAAATAGAGCAAATCATCTACAAAAAGTAAAACATAGATATAGTAATTTTTAACTCTTTTGAAATACAAACATTGATCATTTTGAGACCTTTCAAATTTTTCAGTTAACATAAAATTATTAAATTTTGAATTCCAATACTTAGGTGACTTTTTAAACCATAAATAGATTTTTGTAACTTACAGATTGTATTATTGGGTAACTTCATGTAGACTGTCTCGTTGATATCTCCATGGAGAAAGGCTCCGGTAACATCCATCTGGTAAACTGATTTACCTCAGCCTGGTTCTGGTTTGCCACAGCCATCAATGTCCTGAAAGTGGTTAGTTTTGCAACTGGTGCATAGGTTTCGTCGTCGCAATTTTTCTGTACAAAGCCTCGTGCTACTAGGCGGGCTTTGTAGATAGTTTTTCCTTCTATTTCTTTTACTTTGAACACCCATTTGCTGCTCACGAGATTCTCTCCAACTGGAACTTCCTTTACTACTTCCCAGGTGTTATTGTCTTCTAAGGTCTTCAATTCTTTTTCAATAGCTTCTTTCCACATGCATTTGTCAGGTCTTTCCATTGCCTCCTCGTAAGTAATTGGGTCGTCGCATCAGTAGTTAGCAAAACTGAAGTCTGTTTCATCCGAGTCTCTGTTCATGTAGTAATCTTCCAGCCTTTTCGGTCTTTGTGTTGTCCTTTTAGGTCTCTCACCTGTCACTACTGTATCTTGTGCTTGTGTACTTCCTTCGGATACATTTTCTTCCAGTATATCTGTCAATTGATCTGACATTTCCATTTGTGATTCATCATGTAGTGACTCTTGATCAGTAGCACTTGCAAAAGTGTCATTTAATTCAGGTTCTCTCTCTTCATAGTTTTCTTCATGATGTTCTTGTATGTCAAATCCGGTAAGTATTTCTATATTATCTGTATATTGTTTTTCAGGTACTCCTTTCAAGAAAATCAAGTCTCTTTTTATATCTACCTCATTTTTATCAGGTAAGTAAACTCTATATCCTTTGATGTTCTCTCCATATCCCACTAAATATCCTAATTCAGCTTTGCTTTCAAATTTCAATCTCCTCTGATCAGGAACATGCACTGAAACTTCAGCTCCGAAATGCCTTAGGTTATTTATGTCATATTCTTGTCCAAACCAGTTCAAATGGTGTTCTTTTCTCTACACGACTTGGACCAGTTCTATTTATTATGAAGACTGCAGTATTTAAAGCTTCGGCCCACAAACTGTTCTTTAAGCCGCTTTCTAATAGCAATGTTCTAGCAGATTCGACCACGGTCCTCATCTCTCTCTCTCTATGCAGCCATTTTGCTGTGGTGTATATGCTACACTTCTCTGATGTTGAATACCGTGATCATTTAATAAATTTTGCATCTCTTTTCCAATAAATTGTTTGGCATTGTCACTTCTTATGTATTTTATTTTGTGGCCGGGGTTTACTTCAGTTTGTTTAATAAATTGCTTAAGGCAGGTTATACTCTCTGATTTATGCTTCATAAAATATACTTTCCTGTATTTCGTATAGTCATCTTTCAACAACAGGAAAAATTTAGCTCCTCCGAGTGAAATTTCCTCCACAGGTCCGCCAATGTCCATGTGGATTATCTCACCAGGTTCAGCTGCTCTGTGCTCACTTGTTGGGAATGGCAGTTTATGCTGTTTTCCTCTCAGGCAGGCAATGCAGGTTTCTTCTTCACCCTTTTCAAATTGTATGTTATTCTTATCGAGGATAGTCTTTACATAGCTGATATTTTGGTGGCCAAGTTTTGCATGCCAATCTTGCAATGACGAGTTGCTTTTCCCAACCAAAGCAACCGCAGTTTCTTGTTTGAACATCATGATGTACATCTTTGCCCTGCCGCTTGGCTACAGCATGGATACTGCCATTTTTCATAAATTCACACTTGTTTGCTGAAGACACCATTGTATAACCCTTGTCTAAAGCTGCACTCATCGAGAAAAGATTCACTTTCAGTTCTGGTACCTACATACAGAACTCCATGTATTTTGGTAGGAATCCATTTTCTGCTTCCATCGCTTGCTTGTAGCTGAATGTCCCCATAACCCACTGCTTTTATGACTGTCCCGTCCCCAATAATAACATCCTTCGGTACTGATAGATTTTTGTAGTTTAGAAAACTGTGTTTTTTTAAACACATATGTTCAGACGCGCCGCTGTCTAGAAACCAGTCAAGTTCCGTACATTTAGAGGTTAAGGCACTGATTGGAATTGATGAAATAAACGCGTTCTGTTTCTCATTTACGAAGTTTGCACTACGTTTTGTAAAAACCCGGTTTTTACCCAATAACACCCATTCTGGTGGGTGAAAACAAAAATAGCGTTTTTTAAAAGTGAGAACAAATACCACTTGTTGCTAAGGGGGCGTTCTAGTGTTACGTAATGCAATCTGGGGGGAGGGGAGGTCTTGAAAAACGTTACAATGCGTTACAGTGGCGGAAGGGCGGTTCGATTTCAAGTTTTTAAGCAGAAGTACTTTGTAGTTGGTGTTGTTATTTGTAACTTTATACCGTAATGTCATCAAAGAGAGAGTTTGGCATCTTTGGCATCGTCCCCCCCCCTCCCCCTACATGTCCTTGCCATGATCACAAATTATTGTGTTCCTACTAAATTTCTTCTAAATCGGTTCAACGATTCTTGAAATAACACCATTTTATAAAATAATTGGTCACATCATCATAACGTGATCAATTTTACGATTTGGCCACGATATAAATGTAATATGCATTGTTAAATTTAACTTATTACTTATTAATCAATAAACTTAAATGAGAAAAATTCAATAAAAATAAAGAAAAGATACCAATTGAAATAATTATAAAATTATTTGTTTTCACCCGGTGTAAACACCCACGGGTGGAATGAAACGGGTTTTTATTGGGTTTTTACCCTCATGTGGGTTTTTGCCCGGGTGGAAACCCATCTCTAGTGCTTTTAGGTTATCTGTTGGGTCGGGGCATGGACGAGAACCATCGACTACTTCGTAAGCACTTATTGCCTTGAGGATAACTTTCAGTTGGAATTTCCAACTCGTCCAGTTTTCTGCTCCATCTAGTCTCAGCCCATTTGAAGACATTGCGTTGCTAAATGGGTCGGCGTCCATTTTGAATGCCACACCGATACGATTTTGATTTCTGCTTTACCACAGAACTAAACCCTGCTTTACCGCAGATCTTATATTACAAGCCTCTTATGGCACACTTATATCATTGGCTCACCAGCGAACTTTGTGAAAGTCGTCCAAAATGAGTAATAGTGGCAGAAAACATTGATGTTGTCAGAAAAATCTAAAAAAAACCTCGTCATGTGACATATCGTAGAATGAGGATCATTTCGATTTTTAGCTGTGAATGCAGATTTATAGGGCTAAGAAATCCTTAATACACAGTGCAAAAATTTTTGTTCTACGACAAAAATTGACGAAGTTATGGCCAAATTACTAAAAAAGTTCACTGACCGCCCGGCGCGGGGACGATGACGTCATTATATCCGATCCGAACGCTGCCGGCGTACTGCGTGGATAGAAAATATTTTTTTCTAGCCAAATTATCAGTTTTAGAGAAAAACTTGTAATGACATTTATTCATCAGAATAAAGTAAGCTATCGATAGGTAATTTGTACCTGCATATTAGTCAAGAATGGACTTAAATGGAAAGAACTTGTGGAAATTAAACTGCTTTCTTTGGTTAATGTATTTGAATGTTGTGCAATTGAATTAACTGACTACAAAATTGCAATCATATGTGTATATCGGGTACCAAACCGAAATAATAATTTTGATGTATTCTTTAATAAATTGGAAAAACTTCTAGTGCATAGTTTAAATTTAAAATGTAATAATATACTCATTGCTGGCGATATAAACATTGACATGTTAAAGAATAATAGAATCACATTGAACTTAGAATGTTTGCTGTCAAATTACAATTTTAAATTGGCTCTAAAGCAACCTACTAGACTTGTTAGCAATACATGCATAGACAACTTTGCCCATAACTATGGAAAACCATGTAAGACAGAAGTGTTTGAATTTGGCTTGTCAGACCATACTGCTCAATTAATAAAATTACCAGTTAAAAATGTAATTAAATTAAAATATTGGTATAAAGAAATACGGGATTATAGCAGGGACAACATAAAAAAGTTTAAAATGTGTATAGGAAGTCTATCCTTTTCCGAAATGTACAGTACAGATGACCCAAACTTGGCATATAAATATTTCTTGCAAGAATATCGTCTGTTCTATAATTTATGTTTTCCACATAAACGAATTAAAATAAATGTAACCAATAAACCAAAGTGGATATCACACGGCTTAAAAATTTGTAGCAAGAAAAAAAGGAATTTATTGTGGAAATATAGAAAATCACCTTCTAGCACGAACAAATTACATTACAAAAAATACACTAAACTCTTTAAAAAAATTATATCTCTGACTAAACTAGCTCAAAATAATTATAAAATAAAAACAAGTGACAATAAATCCAAAACAACATGGCAAATTATCAATAAAGCCCGTTTGAATATCCCAACACAATCCATTTCAAAAATAAAGGTTGAAAGCCAGTATATAACTAATCCTAAACAAATAGCGGAAGCCTTTAATAATTATTTCATCGACAGAATTAAACCATTGCAAGGATATGATAATAAAGCTATCTTAACCTCAAAACACATGCTCACTTCCATGTTTCTGGCTCCGAGCCTACCGATACAAATATATTACATAATAAAAAANGCCATGTCCATTATTTCATCGACAGAATTAAACCATTGCAAGGATATGATAATAAAGCTATCTTAACCTCAAAACACATGCTCACTTCCATGTTTCTGGCTCCGAGCCTACCGATACAAATATATTACATAATAAAAAAACTAAAAAACACAAGTAGCGTAGGTCATGACGGTATTGCAANGGTTTCCATGTGGTCTTCGTAGGCTACAATATTCATTAAATATTTACCTAAACCTAGCAACATTCAGCAGAGAATGACAGAAAAAAGAACAATGAAACAAATGACAGTCTCACTATACGACCCACTTGCTATGCATGTTGTAGCACTGGCAGTCACTTATTTTAAATCAGAGAGGTAAAAAAGAAAAATAAAACAAATGACAGTCTAGCTACGTCTCTTTATTGTTCACATCAGACTCCTCAACCCTAAAATGCCTATTGAGGCCAACGCAATCCACTTGCTATGTTCTGGAATGGTGGCAGCATTGCAGTCATCAGAGAAGCACTGGCAGACAGTTTCCACATAATACTTGAATATGAAACAAATGACAATCTAGCTAACGTTATGTTATAGCACGGGCAGTAGCTGTATTTAAATCTAAGAGGTAAAATAAAAATAAAACAAATGACAGTCTAGCTACGTCTCTTTATTGTTCACATCAGACTCCTCAACCCTAAAATGCCTATTGAGGCCAACGCAATCCACTTGCTATGTTCTGGAATGGTGGCAGCATTGCAGTCATCAGAGAAGCACTGGCAGACNGTAAAAACGTATGATAATTACGATGATATAAGTCAAAAGA